CACACACACACACACACACACACACACACACACACACACACACCAAAAAATCCTGTCGGCCCACAGTTCTCTTGCTTCTGTCTCCCAAATGTTGGTATTATAGGGGCTCGTACTGTGTGGCTGCACGGTTGAAGGAGTCATAATTTAGGAAGAGGGGCTCAGGACTTCAGAGCAGATTGGCAATATTACCGGTTGATTGATAATCTGGAATGGCTGTATTATTAGTACATAACGTTGTTATTATCATATTACATAATACAGCATTACCGATTAGCTGGTGCTGTAGTCATCCGGGCCCCTTTTGCTCCACCTGCATAGAGTCATGGGTCAGCAGGGAGCTCTTGAGGTGCTGGCCTCTGCCAGCCAGAGTTTCCCCCACTGTTCAGCAGTACAGTGTCGCAGCAGTGTGCAGGCTGAAGCAACAGCAAGCCCTAGTCCTCAAACTCCTAGGCAAGCCTCCATAAGGGGTCTTCAGCCCTAGGACTACGAGCTCTGCGTACGCCTGGGAAATCAGGGCTTCTCAGCCCTTCCCCGTGCCATGGCCTTGCAGCTCCCGGGCAGACCTAGGTACCTAGGCCCTGAAGACTTGACGGTGTTCTGGTGACGGAACCTTTGCCTCCTTGCAGCCTGTTCTCCATCAGGAGTGTCTGCCCTCCGCCCTCTGTTACCTTCTTTCTACCTACCCTTCTTTTCTGCCCTGGCCACTCTGGACCGTTCAGCTGCTTCTGCTTCTTCGGCCATCAAACAGCTGGCTGCCTGGCCCCTTCAGCTTGGCCACCATCAACAGGACCTCTCTGCTGTTACCTCCTACTGTCCTCTGTTTCTGATGCTTCTTTCTGTTACTAGCCCTGTTGGTGCTACTGGAAGTCGATCAGGAGAAGCCTGAGATTGCTAAGTGAGTGCAGGCAGCCTAGGGGAATATATTCTAGCTGACTCGATACACCTGAAGAAGTATGTGGACCAATCACACTTGTTTTTTTGGACGAATCACAACCTTGTCATAGCCACAGAGCAGTGGTTCTCAACCTCCTGATGCTGCAACCTTTCACACAGTTCCTCATGTGGTGGTGAACCCCAACCATAAATTTCATTGCATTTCATAACTTAGTTTGCTACTGTTAAGAATAGTAATATAAATATCTGATAAACGTGATATCTGATATTCAACCCCTGTGAAAGGGTTGTTGCCACCTCCACGGTGACAACCACCACGACGGTGAGAACCACCACAATGGTGGCTTGCCTGAGTTTTGGACCACTCACCGGTCCCAATAGATGTGAATGGTTGCTTATACATACAGGCTTGTGACTACCTGAAATCTTGCATGGTTGTCTCAAGACTGGGCTTGCAAGCCCAAATCCTGTTTACACCTTGGCATTTCCGTTACTAATTGACCAATGTGGCCAGTAATGGTTAAACTTTCCTAAGCCTCCTTGACATGATTTTTGTGAGAAAGCAGCTGATGCGATTATCATTTCTATTACTTGGTGTGTTAAATGTGAACTAGAGTTTTATCATAAGTACCCTCAAAGCCCCTCAAACAGGCAGCCACTGGGCCGGTGAGATAGCTCAGGGGTAAAAGCAAGGCTTTCTGCCAAGCCTGATGACCCCAAGTTTGACCCCTGTGACCCAGTGTAAGTACTCGCCCACCCATTCCCATACACAAATAAATATTTAAAAGCAAAGTATATGTTCCTTAGGCTTTCTATTGCTGTGATAAGACACTATGGTCAAAAGCAGCTGGAGGAAGAAGGAGTTTTTTTTCATCTTAATATCTTGTAGCCCATCATCCCAGAAAAGTCAGAGCAGGAACCGGGAGGCAGGAGCTGATGCAGTGCACATGGAGGATGCTGCTGTCTACTGGCTTGCTCAGCCTGCTTTCTCATAGCGCCCAGGACCAGCAGCACTGCCCACTGTAAGCTGGGGCCTCCCACATCAGCCCATAGGCCGGTCTGGTGGCGCATTTCCTCCACTGAGGTTTCATCTTCCCAAAATGACTGTAGCTTGTGTTGCGTTAACAGAAAACTAGCCAGTACAATACACTGTTTTGAAAGGCAGCCATTGGCCTTAGTTTCCTTATATGATTGCAGCCCCCTGCTCCCACCATTAGTGTGTGTATATTTCTTTATCCCGTGTCTTGGAGACTCTGTTTGTGGGTAGAATGCATTCCTTCATATTGGTTACTAATTCTTCCTAAGTCCCCTAAACCTAGGAATCCCCAATATTTCATTTCCATGTATGTATGTATATATGTAGGTAGGTAAGTAGTTTGAGACAAAGTTTTTCTTTCTAGCACAGAACTAGCCTTGAACTCACTCTGTAGCTCTGTGAAGCTCTGGAGGCAGAGGCAGGTGGATCTCTGAGTTGGAGGCCAGCCTTGTCTGCATAGTGTATTCCAGGGCATACTATGTCTCTCAGAAGGGAGGGAGGGAGGGGAACTTCTTATATGTACTACCACACCTTGCCCCCCCCTTCTTAGCTCTTTGCCATTTTTTTTCTTCTTTTCCCCTCCACAACACCTTCATCCATCAATTTCTCCTGTTTCAGCCATCACTTCCATGAAGAAACCTGCTAAATCTGTACCCACAGCCATTCCAGCTCCCCACTGGGCATCTCCATCTGGAAATCCTTGCATTCAAAACTGGCATGTCAGAAATTAAACATCAGTTCCCTGTCAGATTTATTTCCAGTCTCTACTAAGTATGGCATCATTACCTTTAACAGCAGGCTTGACTGTTAGACTCGGCCCCTGCCTTTGCTTCGCCCTTCCCTTCTCTCGCGTCTCCTTCATCTGGTCAGTGGGCCCTGGTGCCCATTGCCGCTCTCCATGCCACTGCCCTAATTAAAGCCCTCATTATCTCTCCCCAGGCTGCTGGATGAGGTCTCCACTCTCGTTTCCTCTGCACCCAACACGCCATCACCATGCTATTAGGCCCCGTGCTCGGATTTAGTCTTTAGCGCTAATTACACTCCTATCTCACGGACAAACTGTCCAAACCCCCAGACTGCTTGCTGAAGGCCACACTGCACCTGAGTTCCCAGACGCTGTGGTGTCCTTTGGCTGTCGCTTCCCTGGGCCTGTTTAGGAGACCATCATGCCTAAATGGGCAGTCCCACGGCTTCTGAACCGGCTCCCATCCCCCCTTCTTGCCCTTGCTTCTCCTCCTCCTTCCCCTCAGCATGACAAGGGAGCCCCAGCCTCCCTGTCTTCCCATTCTCTTCTACTCAACAAAATCTGACCGTCTTTCAGTGAGGGTAGTGAGCCTCCCGCAGGAAGCTTCTCTCCGTGTATTGTGTAACCCTTTACTCTGCTGCCTTTCTCTCTGACCTGTATATTACTGAGTATGTATTCAGATATATTATGAGCTTCCTGCAGTAGCTGTTTTCTTACAGCTCCTGCTTCTCTGTATGCCCCTCCATCTTGACACACTCGTATTAAAATGAAATTTAAGAGGATGCCCTTTTTAAGAAAGTGCACAGCAGTGGTTGGAGAACTCGAGGTACGGGGTTGCATTACTAGTTGTGGAAAGGTGTGTTGGAGCAGCCCTGAGCGAGCCAGCCTTCAGTGTGATCTACAGTAGAATTTTGGAGGAGGCAAAGCTTTTCAACCAAGCTGGACATGTAGCTCTCACCTGTGATCCCAGCAATTGAAAGACAGAGGCAGGAGGATTGTCTCGGGTCAGTGCCCATTTGGGCTAAGCAATGAATTTCAGGGCAGCCCATTTCAGAATGGGTTGGGTTTCTTATTTGATTGGTTTGGTTTGGTTTTTATCCCCAAATATCATTTACAGACTTTTCAGGATTAGTAATCTTTAGAATTGGTTATATATTCCTAGTAAGTCAAAAAAAAATTTTTTAGATTTGACCCATCTCTGGATATGCATTAAGCTAGCCCAATAATTTTCAGTGGGTATCACAGAAGCCACCTCTTCAGACACCTTATACCACTTGCTTATATCTCCTGCCCACCACCATATCATCTTTCTACAACAACAGTGGATTTGTGTTTCGTTTCATTTTCCATTTGCTTTAATACTATAGTACCTTCCCATTGTTGTTTGGATGAGGAGCAGACCTCTTACCATAGAACGTTGAACCTGCATGGTCTAGTCCCTAAGTGTGTGCCTTTGAGTCATTCTTGGCTGTGAACAGTCTTTTTAGAACATTCTCTTATTTTCCCAACCGGTCTATTACACATTCTTTCTTCCCTAGAGACAAATGTTCCAATGAGATGACGTTGGGCTGGGAATTCCATTGGAGATGTGCTATTTGGTGAAGTAGAAACCTATGGGAGATCATATATATTTATTAGAAGACTGGAGAGGACTTGTTGAGGCCTAGGAATGGAAAGTAGAAGAAGGAAAATATTTAAAAAAGAGGAAAAATAGGTTGCCGGAACAAAGAGAATGCCGCTTATGGGAAGGTTCCTGTCACATGCTACCATGACATTTCACACTTTATTCACATTGCCCATCCATTCATGACAAGAAAGTAGATGCTATTGTTCTTGTTTTATGGAGCAAGGTGACAGCCTCTGACACCTGTCCCTGGTGACTGACAAAAGAAGTTGTCAGCACAGACCCTGCTGCTCTTGGACTGAACAGGTTGAAGCATCCTCCTGATACCTGAGCAAATGTGCTTTGTGAAGGAGAGCTTGGAGTGTAGCACGTGGTAGCGAGCTTATTGAGCATTCGCAAAGCCACTCGTTCCAGTCTGTGCCAGGAAGAAAAAAAAAAAAAAATGAAAGAGTGCCAGTCAGGGGTTACCAGTGGGAGGCCCCAGAAAGGGAAGAGGGCCCATATTGTCAGGCCCACATTGAGAACTGTTAAGTTTACCAGCTGTCTTCTGAACTTGCTGCTTTCCTCCTAGAGTTCTCTTTATTCTAGAAAAAAAGTCCATTGCTCTGTCTTGGAAATTTGAGCATTGTTGCAGCCACCGTCTAGCTTGACCTGCCCACTCATGGGCGAGTGTGTTAATCCTCTCCTCTCCTTGTTACCAGGGGCCTTGTGCACGACAGCCGGCACAACCTCCAGCTGCGGGGCCTGGTGGTGCTGCTCATTTCCAAAGCAGCCGGGCCCAGCGCCGGCAACTCTCCAAGTCAGAACTACGACATGGTCAGTGGGATATACTCATGGTAAGTGTTCCTGCATTGCCCTCTAGACTGTGACACTGGTCAGCCCCAGGCATTCTGATTCTAAGTCAAATGAAAACAGAGTTGGGGCCTCTCGGTGGCTCAGCGGTAAAAGTTCCCATTTGATAAGCTGGATCACCTGAGTTTGATACCTGAGGACCTACATGGTGGGAGTTCCCAGACGTTGTTCTCTGCTCTCCACAGATGCAGTCAATGGTATGCACGCCACAGCTGGTGCCTTTTGGTACACCTTTTGCCATTTTATCCAAGTATTTTCAGTAGAAGGGTTACCCTGGGATTGTTTCAGTCTCTGAGCATTTTGAGTTGATTTATGTTTGTGTTGTTAGATACTAGTCATTTTGTGAGTTACTCCTGTAGTCTATAGTGCTGTTAGAAGAGTTATCGGCTCTTGAGAAAACAAATCTCAAACTGAAACATTTTCTCACAATACATTCAGCAGATGCAAGAATTTCTGACTCTAGATCACCTGTCTTCTCTCTTTCACATAGTTCATTTCTCTTGTACATTGGTCTAGACATTGAATCTAAGATCCTCTGGTGAGAATCCCTACTTAGAGGGATGTCTGTCTTCTCCACACTGCTCCTGTGTTAGAGCTCAAGACTTGACCTTACACATTTTATAGATAATTCTTGACCAAATTTAGCTGAGATTGTGAGAGAGGAAAATGTCCACAAAGACTTGGAGTGATCATTAACAACCCATTGGCAGTGGAAAGCAAATGGGCCACACATCTCCATCCCCTCAGGAATCCCATTGATTGGTTGTCAGCTGTCTGCTTGTGTGTTCATCTAGATAGCTCTGCACATGTGGATAAGATGAACACCAGCCACGTTATTATCCCCCATGGCCTTTTTAAAGTGCTACTGTGTATGGAAGAGTTGTTCATAACTGAATCGCTCTCATGTTATAGAGGAGCTACCCATTCTAGAAGTTAAGGTTTATCAGAAATCTCCTGGATAGGGGGTGACAACGTTGGATTGAAGTCCTGTTTTGATTCTATATGGTAGGGGTTCTGTAATTCAGGGGCAGTTACCCCATGATGTTTGCTCAGGGATCTACATCCTTATTGTCCTCTGAAACAGCTACATCATTCGTCCGTGACACGCGGTCTCTAAGCAGTCTGCGTAGAGCTTGGTAAGAGAATACGTGCACTTCAGGCACCGAAGCCTTTCCAGGTAAGGCTGTGCATAGGAACACATGCCTGAAGACCCAACAGTTGGAATACTGAGGCAGGAGGATCCCACTGAAGGCCTGCCTGAGCTACAGAATGAGACCCTGTCTCAAAAACCAGACATCCTGTCGACTAATCCAAACAAATTTTATACTTGAGCATGTAGAATCTCAATTATGTTTAGGAATGATCCTGACATAATTCCAGGCCACTTTCTCTAATCAAACTTGATCTGGTAAATCATCAGTTGTCTAGGTGTTTCACACACTTGCTAATGTAGGAAAGTAATTTGGCACAGGCATTTGAGAAACCACCAATTTGTGTCTGTACCACTGAAGTCAATTTGTTTGTCTCCTGCTTCCATAATTATTCAAGTGTAACTTTTGCTAGAGGCTTGTATCTATAATGCCACAGTGAATTATTTAACATTTGAGGAAAGTACTGATTTGGGAGCTTTTCAATTTGCCCCCAACTACTGGGGTTTATATTGTTGGTGGTTTTCTCTCTTTAGCTTGACTTTGATGTCAGCTAATGGGAGCTGAGTCAATTACCTAAGGGACCCAAAGTGAGTTAGGTGATCTTTTTTGTTTGGCCTCAGGATATAACTAATGCTGTGAATGTGTCTACAAACTTATCACATAATAGCTAAGAGAGACAGAATTTAGGCTACAATGTAAAAGTGTAGCTGTGGGGAAAGGCATAGACCCACATTTGTAAAAATGTGCTGTAAACAACCACCCAAGCCCCTTTGCCTACAAGGTATCAGATTTAGGGTGTGTGTCATCAATATTAACCTTTAAAAAATTGATTCTAAGGCCAATAAAAAAAGTCTAACTGCAGCTGGAGCTAGAGCTCATCCGCTGAATACCCGCAGAGCTGGTCTGGTCTTGTAGGTTCAGGCGCCATTACAAAAAAGTTCAACTAAACTTGCAAGTGTCCCTAACCATAATGGGGAAAATTGCAACTTTCCATTCTAGTAATGGTAGAATACTTTTGTGTACAAAAGCTATTTTGTACCAAGTACAATATATATTACATATAAATTGAGATTTTTCTTTTTTCTAATGTAGCATGATTATTTAAAGAAATTCAGGTAGTAGTTGTTGCTGTTAGTATTACTGTGTCAGTAATGTAGTCTTGCTCTGGGATCTAGGGTGGCCTGAAACTGGCTGTAGAGTCTAGGACGTTACTGAATTTGTGATCTTCCTGCTGCAGCCTCTCAAGTGCCTAGAAGTGCTAGTGTCTACCAACACAGTGGGTCCAGGTGAATCTTCCAAATGGTTCAGTTTCCATTGTTGTTTTGTAAGAACCAACTCAGTTTACTCTCTTGTAACTAGCAGTTAAAAAACAAACCACAAACTGTGCAGTGTTGGTGCATGAACTGGAACGTGAAAGCTAACACTGAGGCATGAGGACCACAGGTTTAAGACCCAACCTGTACAACACAGAGAGTTCAGAGTTAGCCCAAGCTATGGAGGAGACCCCATGTCTAAAACCACAATGGTCCCTACAAACGGAATACAAATTTAGCAAACGCATGTGCTTTCCTGCCCCAGTGCCCGGCTAGACTTTTTCCCAGCTTCCCTTGAAGTTTTCTGGGTCAGATTTCTGCCTGAAATCCAGCTAGTAGTGTTTGAGCAAAAGTGGTGTTATATCAACACTGTAATGCCAGTAGTTTGGAGATCAATTGAAAAAGTCCCAAGTTAGTAGTTCCATAAGATGTTAAATAATTCACATTATTGATAGAAACCTCTAGAAGTGTTATTTATTACTTACTAGACATAACAATCTTGCAATTTCAAGAAAACGTGTAGTTTGATTACATATTTCTATTGACGGTATTATCCTTACAACAGTAAAATGCACATACAAATCTAACAGTATTACTAATTCATTACAAGCAGTACTTATTTTCTTCATTAACTTTTTATTGTTATTTCCAACTTACACAGCATGCACAAATACAGCAATTACATGTTGAGTGAAAGGGGAAGGCACTTTATGTTCAACATTCTGTACATCAGACGCCATTGCTTTGCCCGAGTGTCTGGAAAAACACAATATAAGAACAGCCTCTTACAACACAAGTATAATTAACCACCAAAAGCAGGCGGGCTAAGCTACTAATGTACTCATCCTGAGAGTTAGTTGATCATATATAAATAACACAATATACATTAGCCTGCCTGACTGTATTACAGCAAAACTCAGCTGCATAAATGTGTCGGGTTTTTTTTTTTTTATTGTTTGTTTGTTTGATGCTAAGAGTCTTTTAAGTCTTTTTCTTAAGGGAATGTTGTCTGCTGACTAGTGAGAGTCCAAAGCCAAATGCAATATCCAGTGTCCATTTCTACATCTTTTGGGGAATACTGATGCCTGAGTATTTTCTTTAACATAGAAACCAGTTGTTGTTTTTCCTTTTTCCAACTAGACTTCTGTCCTAGTTAGATATAATATCTAATGGACCACTTTTATAGATGGACACCAAAATGCATGTCTTTTGACATTAGTCCTTACATGCTCATTGCTGAACATTTTGGTATTACAAAGTTTTGATATTCCACTTACGTTATTTGGAGACGCCATTTCAAAGCAGTTTGGATGATCTGTACCTGCAAGATTCACTGCTGTCCAGGGGTAATTGTGTCCTGTAGTACCTGGAGCATCAATTCCTTGGCTGTAATTATTTATATGTCCATTGCAAATAATGATGCAGTGGGTTTTTAGAGGCTGTGCATAAGAGTACCAGCAAACTGAGACACAGAACAAGTTTCCACCCTTCTTTCCAAAGCTGTAGTTAATCACTTGAACAGTAGCCAATATAGTAGAAAACTGGCAGACTTTTCTTTGCAGCAGGCTATGTAAAAGTGTTTATAATTTACAGCTTATTATGCCATGCAAATGACTGTGTTCCAGTGAAGGAGAGTGAGGAAATATGCCTATGAAATTACTGAACTCCCCTTTGTTAGTTGTTTTCTGGCAACAGGAGAAGGATACTTGCACTTAAAATGCATTTCTGTATTTAATTTTGTCATTCAATTAAAAACTTCTGGGGGAGGGGGATTTACTTTTTAACTCTTTTTATAGACAGGCCCAAGCAGTTTTAACTTAACAAAAAACAGTAAGCTGAAAAACCACTTATCAGGGAATTGAAATGACCTGGTACTAAATTGTTAGGGTTTAACTCAGCTCATGGCTGCAGTTGAGTTTGTTGTTGTTGTTTACACGTGTGCACATATTTGAAGTGGGAGGCGTGTGTACCTGTGGAGCACAGAGAACAATTTGCAGAGGTCGGTTTTCTTCTTCCCCATTTGGAGTTTAGAGGCTGAACTCAGTGTCGTGCTGGCCACTCCATCTTCACCCACAGAATCATCTCTCCGGCCCCTATGACTGCAAGTCTGATTTTGGTAAACCTGCAGTGCCTAATAAGTAACCTGCATTTTTCAACTGAACCTGATGTGAACTCTGTTTTCTTTTGTCGGCAGCCCTGTGGCTGAAAATTAATCTTTCTTAGGAACAGTTTATAGGGATGGGGAGATGCCTTGGGACTCGGCAGTCTGTTTTATGTACCTACTGTTAGCTCTTTGACTTGCTTTTTCTGACTTTATGGGTTCATATGGCTTCTAAGGCCAAGAAGCACCTTGCCCTGTGGGTTCAACCTGATCACAGTCTGGCACAAAGGAGACAAGGCTGGCTTTCTGGTGCCAGACTAACTATGTGTGGGCCTTTGAGGCAGAAAGTTCTTGAAGAGGCAAGTAAAAATACAGGAATTATCCCTAAAACTCTCTGTGTGTCCTTCCCCTTCCAGATT